AGAACTTATAGCCAGGTAGAGGTTAAGCAATAAAGCGTGATGGATTGTGTTAATTTCATCTTAATTAATTATGGATTGATGAAGCACAGCCAAATATGCACAGAATGGTTATATGTCGAAGGGTGTGGTTGGCACTACCAAGAACAGAATGAACGCTTGTGGTTATATAAAAGACCAAAAAGGTACAAATTGGAATATGTAAACTGTATAGTTTATATCATTCCAGCATTTTATTAAGATAGCCATGGTTTAGGAATTGGCCCTATGTTGTGTATTGATATAAAAAACATACTAGGCACATGGAGGAGGGGGATATTATACCTTACCTCCTCTTACCTACAGGAGAGTGAAGATGTCCACTCTTTTACATTTGTTAGTCCTAAATCAGAGATAATTTTTGCTTCAAGAAATAAACGTGAAGGGTATCCTCCCTATCACAAGTGATATTAACTGTTCAATGAGAAGATTGTTGTGATGTTTTGCAGAATTATGTATTGCACGACATGGAAGAGCTGTTCTAAGTCCACGGAGATTGATGCATACCATGAGTAGTTACATTCCTAATTTCAATCTAACTAGCCAGCAGGTATTTCTTTTCGTTACAGTATGTGGACAATCTTCGTCACTAGTTCTAGTGCATTAACTGACATATTTCTGAAGTGTAGGATGCAGAGGAAGCACTCTCCCGTCTTTTATCTTCTTTAAGAGCCGAATTGTCAGAATCTTATGTTCATGATAACAGCTCTTTGGCGGATGTAACTACACTTCCTAATTGTAGGATTGTTAGGCAGAGGATGGAAGGAGAAAGCGAACAGGAGAGATGGCAGCAAAGTTTTCTTGGGCCTTTTAATGGGATTCTTGGTAGCTTTTTAACCTGCCAAAGTTGTTCGTTTCAGGTTGAATGGTACTTGAAAGAACATTTACAATCATACAATTTTATTATCACACTGCTGTATCTTTCGGCACGTCGTAGAACATGTTTGCTACATGTACAAGGAAGGAAGATTCTGTAGTTGCTCTAGCCTAGTCACGTGTGTAGTCGCATTAGCCCCACTTACAAGATAATGACATAAACGACAGAACTTTGCCATATATTATGCACAGAGGAAGGGCTAAAAACTATTGAAGAGGTGTGTGATGAGAATATAAGAGTACTTGCACAATCATATCCTCCAAGAAAGTTAAAGAGCAAAGCCAGTAAAACTAGAGACACAATTATCCAAAACGATTTAATGCGATGGCGTAAAATGTAAAATAGGAGGGTTTAAGTCACGCTGGACGGTAAGTGGGAACACTATTAATCCTCTTGACGGGATGGAGTGGGGTAAAAAAAAAGACTACACGTGAGTTTCAAGGTTGGACCTTTTACTTTGTAAAGTAAGCTGTAAATAAGTGATATTTTGTATTCATTAATATGCTCTGTTTAGTTTGGGTTTGCGCTTTATCTTCTGGGTCTTCATTCATGAATTGATTTATTCATATTTTGTTGTTTCTCTTCAGATCTCTTTGGATTTTCAGTTGTTCCATAGCTTGCATCTTGTGCCAGTGTTAAGCATTGTTGGGGCCATTGTACGTTAAAAAACTCTATTGTCTTGTATCTAATTATTTATGTGCCTTACTTGATTCCATATTAATGGTGATTTCTTCTGCAAATAAAATGTTAGATGCCTGGGTGTTCCATGGAGCATTGCCTGAAGCAGTTCTTTGTTGCAGAACAACTCGAAAACTATAAGTGCAGCCACTGTTGGCATATTGCTGCCATAAAGTTTGTCTCTGCCATGGATGAAAATGAGGTAATCTTGGTTAAGAGATCTTAGTTTAGCATGCTATCTTAACCTTGAAGTTTGTGGCTATAGTCTATAGGTTCAAACGAGCCTAGGAAACATTTCTATAATATTCCTCCATTTGGCTGGAATTTGGTCACTGATTTCCCTCTGAGGTTTTTGTTGTTTAACAAATTGTGGTCCTTTTCTAGTAGCTGATAACTAGAAGCAATTTCTTCTTAGGCTATTGTTGAAAAGCTTAAGCTGTGCAATGAGGAAGATTCCTGTGATTGCAAAGAGCTACCATGCCTTGCAAGATTACCATGGTCCAATAGCTTCTCACGCACTTTCAAGCAACTCAGTATTGGCCGGAGTCCTAAGGTATGCTTGTTGGTCCATTTTCTTCAAGTAAGAATTGAAGGTGCTAAAAACAGGTTATTTACTTCGTTGAAAGGATTGACCACATATCTGTCAACAAAATCAAAAGGGAGGAAAATAAGGGGTGGGCAAGGAATAACATGCTTCTCGATATCCAAATATGCTTTAATTTTAAAACTTGGTGCTTCAGCTCTTTGTCATTTAATGGTTTCGTCTGTATTGCCATTTGTTGACTTCTTGCATCTGCTTACAGTTGTGCCACCTTGCAGGTTCTATGTCTTCATTTACAACGTGCTTCTATAAATGTATTTGGAGAACCGGTCAAACTTCAGGTACCGATATTTCTGCATAAGGGTTTTATTCTTTTGATAAGTAAATAAATTTTATTAGAACAAGAACACCCCAAATGAGGTAAAATTGTACCTTTTATCAAATAAAAAAGGAAAAATAAGGAACATCCACAGATAAGGTTCTGGTAGGCAGCATAGTGTACTCGACCATAGATGATGGTCTCAAACTACAATTTTATCCACTGTTTTAGATTTTTCATTCACATATTTCTATCATAGTTGATATTGCACTTCAACCTTTTTAATTCTTGCTCTTGTTGATTACTTCCCCTCTTTTTTGTTTGACACTCTTTTTGGTTCAATTATGCAGCCACCTATTTTCTGGGTGTGGAGATCGAGTATTAGGGTGGAGGGTTAGTAGGTAGTCGTGCATTTTTCTGTCCATACTAGTTGTATTAGTGTTAGTATGTGCTTTCTTATTTTTTAGATTTCTCTCACTGCTTGCTGTCTCTTTCGATTCGGTTTTCTTGTTATCTTGCTGGTGTTTATGGTGCTATTGCTTTTTTATGTTTCTTTGAGTCGAGAGTCTATCGGAAACAGCCTCTCTACCTCCCAAGGTGGGAGTAAGGTCTACGTACACACTACCCTCCCCAGACCTCACTTGGGGGATTACACTGGGTTTATTGTTGTTGTTATTGCATCACTGATTCCCTGCCTGTCCTCATCAGATCTCCTGAGATACCTATGAACTTTTCAAGTCCTGAAGTTTCTGCTACTCCATATCTGAGCTAGCTGCTTTCTGCATTTCCACTGTCTAATTGGAATTATAGGAATCCTCATATGTATAGTAGTCTATGCATTACTTAGAACATCCCTCTCCAAAATCAATTTATATTCAATTTTGGTTTATGCATCATATCTCCATAAATATTCGTCTGTCATTCTCTTTTGTCAGTTCCCTTCCTTATTTTCCCTTAATAACTAATGCTTTAGCAAGAAGACAAGAATGTGCTGTGGCCTACTATGTTCTATCCAAGACTAGAAGAGAAAGCTTACCCAATTTTAGAATGTGGCATATACCTGGATTGATTCGCAGCTTGCTTGCATCATGTACTTTCCCCTTTTTACTTCAATCAACTCTTAGTCTTGATTCAACTCTGCCACTTTTGGTTCCGTTCTTGATTTTTTTTGGGCTGTTCTTACAATTCCTATTTCCTGATTCTTGTCCCTAGAGATGCCTTTTCTTTCAAGTCGGCTTAGTCTCATGAGAAATTGCTGTTTCATCTAGGTCTTCAGCTCGTAAAAATCTCAAACTTATTAAATATCTGGTTCAGTGATGGATCTTGAGATTGGGGGGCATGTCCTGTAATTGTCATCACGCCATTTCTAGTTGAGGGGGATTATGTTTATTATGAAACAACATCTTTTCACCAAGTATCCATGTAATTTAATTTCATCCACATGCTTCCCCACGCCGGCATTCACCTGTTATTAGTTGCTCAAATCACCATAACGGTTTGCTCTGGCACCTCATGTCTCTCAAGCCATCGGAAACTTTTCCTATTTCTTGCAATATGTTTCTCACATAACACCTTCTTCTTTCCGCCTTCCGGCAGTGAGAACAGTGATCCTCCTTGAAAACAGACCACCTTTAGTTTAAAGGTCTTGCTCTTTCTCTGTTCAAGAATCTTTTAAGTTTCAATTTTTGCTGACTGGCCATATTCGCCCTGCCCATTGGGTTCACCGAGTGATGCTATCTTCTCCACTTTTTCCCTTGTGTTTCAAGTTGAGCTCACAGCTGTACATGTTAACTAACCTTAGCTGTGTTCTTTTAGATTTGCATTTTTTCTTAGGAGCACGACTCTGTTACCTTCTAAAGAATTTGCTTTGATCAGAGATGTTTCTAGTGAGAAGTGTTACGATAGTTGCCTATTCAAAAAAAGGGATGTTATCACAGATACATTTTCTGTACCGTATTGCACAGTTTTCATTAATATAGGTCCTCCACTAGAAAGAGAGGACACCCTTTTCTACTTTTTGCTGTCGCAAGTTATGTCCATCTTTCCTTTCCACTAGAAAGAGAGGACACACTAGAAAGAAGACTATTCCTTTCCTTTTGTTTGAGTGCTAAATCAGCTTACTAGTTGCGTAAGACCAACTTCAGGCTTGTCAGAGTTACAGCTTTTGGCTACTAAATGTTGACTGTAGCCTTGGACCTGCCTTGACTTCAATTACTATGTAATTTCCATTTTCGCCCATATGTTCATCTCTAAACCTAAGGGACAACCTAATATGGAGTTGTTTGATATTTTACATCTTATTCTATGCTTTGGTGCATTTTGCTGTGTTTTAACTTTCACTGTTTGAATTTTGTGTTCAGGGCCATATTTCGTTTCCATTGATTTTGGACTTGGCTCCCTTTGTGAAGAATGGAGTGGGGACAAAGAATCGCGAAGGGAATCTGCAAATAGGAAAAATAAAGCATCAGCAACAGTCTTTCCCTTTGTTTGATTACTTAAATCTGCAAGATAATAACGAGATGTTAAATTGCATCACCCAAAGTGAAAGAACGTTTTCTACAGAAGTAGAAGATACGGCTGCTTTGTGTGTCTCAAATAGTTGTGGTGTTAATGCACCAAAGTCAATATCAACTTTGCTCGATACAGGAGGCTACAAGGAGATGAGCTTAAATCAGCTGCCTCCACATTCTGGCAATCAGGTTGGTTGGCTGCTTGCCTTAAGTAGATAATCTCAGTGATTGGGCAACATGGTATTTACATGACCACCTACTCTCGAAATGAATTTGCACTGTCTAGCTTTAAGTTTGTAGTGGAATCTCTGGCGCTGGAGGGAAACTTTCAAGTAGTACTTTTCCTGAGTAAAGTACTCGTATATCTCATGCTTGCCGTCCAGAAAATCTCAACTCAAGATGGGAGGCTTGTTGCTAATTAAGCATGCGTTTATACTCCAATCTTGTGATAGTCTGGGGAATACACAACTACGCCTCAATCCCTAGCAAGTTGGGGTTGGCTATTTGAATCCTCACTATCTATGTCGCTCCATTCAAACCTTGTGATATTTGAGGATCTAATGGAGAAATATATGAAGATAATTTTAATAGAGCGACATGAACAGTGAGGATTCAAATAGCTAACCCCAACTTGCTAGAGATTGAGGCGTATCGCCAAAAAGATGTTTAGAGTAGAGAACATCCTCATCAAGGACAAAAAGGTTGTGAATCTCTTGATTCACAATTAGGCATAAAAAGCTATTTAAAAGGAAACCAATAGACTGTAATTGATCACTTATTCCTGTCGACCCCTGGTATTTCTTTACTTCGTTTGGACCTAAGAGTCACATTTTAAGGAACAAACAAAATTTTACTATGTCTAATTACAGTATTAATCTTTTCCGTATTTCCTATATTTCTTATATTGCTGTTATTTTGTTATTTTATGTTATGTTATGTATTTTATGTTATTTAGTATGAGTCTATTGATAGTACTAATGTATCGTCTCTTGTTGCTGTCTTGAGCCGAGGGTCTCCTGGAAACAGCCTCCCTGCCCCTCGGGGTAGGGGTAAGGTCTGCGTACATATTACCCTCCCCAGACCCCACTTGTGGGATTATACTGGGTTGTTGTTGTTGTTGT